GGGCTCCCTGCTCGGCGGGGAGTCTGCTTCTCCCTCTGACCCTCCCCCCTCTCATGTGCTCTCTCTCTGTCAAATAATAAATAAAATCTTAAAAAAAAATAAAATAAAATAATTTCCTTCCTCTTCCCTCTTTTCCTCAAAGTTCTACCTATCTGAATTGTGACTTTTTGGCCTCTTTCCCGGGGCTCTTTTTCCTAAACCCGTTCCTTAAATAGCTACTGTTCTCGACTTTCATCCACAGCTCACTTCTTTTCTCATTCCCTGGACTACCTAACCCACATACGTGGTTTGAGTCCGATGTGCTCAGGGCACCCAAATCTCTATCCCCGGCTCTGGTAGTCAAACCCCGAGTTTCTGACTCTGCATTCAACTCCGCGCGAAGCAGACGTCCCACAACACCCCACACTCAAGACCTGCAAAACCAAAGCCAGTACTTTCGGATAGTTAAGAGCTCTCTAGAACCAGACTGAGACGGCCTGGGTTTCGGAGCTCAGCTCTGCCATTTACCAGCTGCGTGACTTCAGGCGAGTTAATCAAGTCGCCCGTGCCTCAGTCTCATCATCTGTAAATGGGGATGATAGTGATAGCACTGAATTTACCCAGTTGTTGCGCGGATGAAATGATGGTCACATGCAGAGCTCTCAGAAGAGTGTGTGGCCAAGTAAAAGCTATGCATGTGCTAACGGTGATTTTTAATTCATTCTCTCACCACTGTGGCTGACCTCTCACTTAATGGTATCATCATTACCCAGTCACCTCTGCCAGGATCCTGGGAGTCCCCTCAGATTCCTCCTCTTCCTCCCTTCCCTGTGTCCTGCTGCTTTTCTCTCTCTCGACACTTCTCGAACCTCGCCCTTTCCCCCATCCCCCTCCTTCTGAGTCACCTAGGTTGACAAACCACCGCAATTTGCCCAGGACCGAGGACTGCTTCCCGGGGCATGGGACATTCTGTGCTAAAGCCTGGACGGTCCCAGGCAAATCAGGACGGGTTGGTCACCCTTGCTGCAGACCTTCACCATCCCCTTTTCCTGGACAAACGCTGTAGCCTCCTAGCTGGTCCCCCTCATGCCACTGCAATGCCCCTTAGGTCCACCCTCCACATCTCTGCCCGAGTGCTCTTTCTAAAACCCCTCTGTCATTTCCCAATCTCCATAGCAGAAGGGCAGAAAAACCCTCTAGTTTTGCATAGTGTGGCTCCCATCCCTCCCCCCCCCAACACCTCACCCCTAAATAGTGCACTATTTCTGGGACAGCCCATCCACTGCAGGAGAGCTCTGATTGGCTGAGAGGTCTCCACCCCCCCCCCCCCCCGGGTATTCATCCCCTATGGGACAGTTTTGTGCGGGAGCCTCAAGCCCCAAGGTGGATCCCTTTCAACTGACCTCCACCGCAGCACTTACAGAGTGAAATCCCAGAGTCCTGTGGTCCCCCACGGGGCCAAAGCCAGGCAGGTCTGCATGTGTCCAGGCATGCAGGCCACAAAGGGGAAATGAAGGCATCTGTCTACACAGCAAGCACGTGGAAGGAGGCCTTTAGACTGCCTCTGGCTACCGGGAGGGCAGGGTCATGGGAGCCCAGATCCTGCTGGGAGTTACCTAGAGCGGCCTGATGCAGAGAAAGAACCCTGTGTCTGGAGTCAGGGAGAAACATCCCACACCTACTACTGTGAAAGCTTTAGAAGATCACAGTCAATACCTCCGGACCTTGGTCTTGTCCTCTGTGGGAACCCAGAGTTTCCCTCACCAGCAGGGGTCAGTTCAGGTGGGGCCCCCTAAGCTATCATAATGCATCTGGCTTTCCCCACTCCCCAGCCCGCATAGGACTCCAGCCTCCCTGCAGTCTCTCCAGGTACTTCTGGAAGGTCATGGACCACAACTGCCCACCATAGCTGAGGGCCCCAGGCCCCGATGCTGCCGTGGGTCCTGATGCACAACAGGGGAGAAGTCTCCTTTCCCTTTGTGTCACTCTCTGTCCCAGCAAGGCTTAAGGCTTTCTGCCTTTGCTCAAACCCACCTGTCCTGACTCATAGGAGTCTATAGATGGAGGGATGGCAGGAGGGGGCTTGGGCTAGGAGACAGATGGAGCAGCAAAAGAACCCACAGTGGGGTCCCCATCCCCTCTGACAACTGAAGCCGCTACTCATGCTTGGCTCCTTCTTGCACAACTATAATTAAGAAGAAGGAGAGTAACAACGGGTCAACAGAAATACAGGGCTTACCGTGTCTCGGGCACGTGGTATATTCTCTCCCTTTTAATCTTCACAAAACAATCCTACAAGGTAATTGCTATTACTACCACGTTTTGTTTTTGTTTTCTCAGTAGGTGAGAAATAAAAGCACAGAGAGATTGAGAAATACGTCCAAGGTCACACAGCTAATAAGTGGCAGAGTTGAGACCAGAACACAGGCAGTCTGTCTGTAGGGCGCCTGGGTGGCTCAGTTGGTTAAGCATCTGACTCTTGATTTCAGCTCAGGTCATGATCTCAGGGTCATGATCTCAGGGTTGTGGGATCGAACCCCCCGCATCAGGCTCCACACTCAGTGGGGAGTCTGCTTGAGATTCTCTCCCTCTGGCCCTCCCCCTCTTCTCTCTCTCTCTCTCTCAAATAAATAAATAAATCTTTAAAAAAAAAAAAATTCCTTGCCTGGGCTCGACTCCAGACCACTTAAATCAGAATCTCTAATTTTATATCTTGGAAAGGTGATGCTCATGAGCAGCCAGGACTTGCGAATTCTTGAATGAGAATGAATCCTAAAGGCTCAGAACGTTGTGGGGATGAACCCCCAAAGCTGCTGTCTGCACGTAGGGGGCGCCAGCCACCTGGAAAGGCCATCTGACTGCCCCACGTGTATCTGACCCCTAGATGATTCCACGATACAAACAGATACAGGCCCGGTCTGCATCATGAGACTAGGTGGCTGCTTCCCAGGGAAATAATTTTGCATGTAATCCAATTCTGAGATCGGCAGTCAGGACTCATAGAATCCCTGAAATACTGCCCCCCCAACATTGCACTTGTGATATATTCACCTGGGATATGGGGGTGCTGAGGCACCTGGATAACCTGGCAAGCACCAGCCACAGCATTCGCGGTGGTTTGAAATTTAGGACAACAGATTGGGAGAAGACTTGCAGAAATGAGAGACCCAAGGGCCGGGGGGAGCCCAGATGCAGTTTCTGCAGACTTGTCAGTGCTCCAAGTCACTTGCAGGAAGAGAGCTGGGGACCCTGTGGGCTAGCCTGTGGAAATACACCGCAGAGGGCAGGAGGTGTTGGCAAGGTGAAGGTCGTGAAGGTGACACGCACACGAGCTGTCTCTCTGTTGTAGACGGTGACGAACACCTTCCGGACGGCCACCATCCAGATCCAGAGCCAGGACCAGAGGCTCCTGACGCTGCTGCTGGACAAGGACAGTCGGCGCACATACAGGGATGTGGTCAGGTGAGGCTGCGCCTCGCCACCCCTCCGTGCCCCACGGAGCAATCCCCTACCACCTCCTGCCTCTAGCCCAGGACACCTGTCGGAGGCAGAGCCTGGGGCCAGGCAGGTGGGGTCCACCTGCTGGCGTGGACTGAGGCCACTGCCCGGTGACTTCCTGGGAATCCAGGAAGAAGAGCAAATGAATGGGGCAGCCGAGGATACCAATGTTTCTGGAGATTTCCTCTGCATCCGCTCAGCCTGCGGCCGTAGCCACAGATGCAACCCCCCGTGTGGGCACTGATCCCTCCCACACAGGCTGGCTTTCTGTGGCAGTTGTGACCCAGTTAATGCGACCCCCTAGCCATTTCCCCCGGGGCGGAGTAGTTGGGTATGGACGGGGTGTACACAGAGGGACCCACGCAGGCAAACCTCCTCTCCCGGGGTCCACCCCTGGCCTGGGTGCTCTTTCCTCGCCCCGACTCCCCCTCCTCTGTCTGCAAGGCCTCCTCCCGTATACCCTGTAATAGAGGGGATGTCTTCACAATGCCCCAGCTGATCGGACCCCAGAGATGGGTCTCCTGAGCCGGCCTCTCTCCACCCACAGGTTCGAGGTTGCTCCCTGCCCAGAGCCGTGTTCCGGGACGCACAAGTCCAAGGCGCCGTGGCTCGGTTCACCCCGGCCGGAGGTGGAAGGGACCAAAGCCAAGCCCAAGCCCCTTCTGATGCCCATCAACACGTTCTCCGGCATCGTCCAGTGAGCCCGAAGGGGCGGCAGAAGTGCTGACTCTGAGAGCCCCAGACCAAGAGGAAGGATATACTATCCCGCCGGCCTCCAAACCCTCACACCAGCAGCCGGGACAAGGCCTGGCTGTCCTGGGTGGCTTCTGGCTGTGAGTAGGAGCCAGCGAGTGACCGGAGCACAGGGAGCTCGGCCGTGGCAGGTGATGGTGCGGGGCCCACACCCAGGCCCAAAGATGGTCCCAGCAAAGCTGCACACACACAAGCAAGACCCAGCTCTGAGCACAAATGTCCACACGCCTTTGTTTATTTTTAGTCCCCACCTCTCCCACTCAAGCTCCCCCCTCGCCCCTTAAAACCCAAGTGAGAGCTGCTGTTTTGTCCAGGCCCCGTGGCCTGGGGGAAATGGGAGGCAGGGCAAAGGCACCTCCTCTCTCCTGAGTCTGTTCCTTTCCTCCCTCCAGCCACCACCCACACCCTGCGTGCCCAGGCAGGTGTCTCTCCTGGAGGAGAGGAAAATGTCAATAAAGGCACACTAAAGCCCTTTTGCTTTTATCTAATACCTAGTGACATTTGGATTTTAATAGAGATCCAGGGCCGTACGTGATCTGACCTAATGAGTCCTCTTAGGCCAGTTGGGAGTTCTGTGGAGTATTATTGGTGCGTTCTCTCTGGCGCCCACCCCTCTCCCCGTTCACGTGGACTTAGGGACTTCTGACCAGTACCGTCCCAGAACAGAGATGGGGATGCAAAGTCATTTCAAAGGAGCCAGATAGTAAAGACATGAAAATTCTTGGCTTTTGAGTTCCAAAACTTATATCCAGACGCAAAATAGGGAAGATCAGGGACACAGAACTTCTATCCTCACCGCCAGGACTAGGTGGGGGGCAGGAGGGAAAGTGGAGAGGGCAGGGTCCCAGGGGAGAGTGGGAGGAGGGTGTGGAAGAATCCCTTTCAGGTTCGGGGATCCAAGAGTACAGAGGTAGGTGCTTTACTTCCGGCCTCATTGCCCGGGGAGTGGGGACAAGTCTGGAAGACTCCCTGTGAGAGGGGCCTCCTGGGGGTCTAGGCAGAGGGGTCCAAGGGACACCAGTATGGCAGTTTGCCCGCCCCTCAGTGGACATCAGCCCTGGACAGAGTGAAGACGGAGGAGTGGATGGATGTGAGATCCTCCACTGAAGCTGCCCCCTCCCAAAACAGAACCCAGGGAGAGAGGGATTAGGGAGAGTCCCCAGTGAGCCTGAGTGGTTTTAAACCGGAAACGACTGATATCACTGAATTTGAGCGAGTTCCCCTGGAGGTGGCTAAATATTATTTCTCTGCTCTTGGCGTGATATACACTGATTCCTATCGATTTTGGCATTCACACAGTTACTAGATTCTTTCAGTAAACATTTGCAGAGTTTACCAGTTGTTAGAATTAGGTGAGATCTCTGGGCTCCCCAGCAGTAATCTCTCTACCAGCTCACCATGGAAAGCAAGTTGCAGACCAAATTTTGCTGCACATTCAGACGGGTGTTGGCAAGCTGCCATCCCCCTCAACCCCACCCGCCAGCCAAACTAGGTGCTCTGAGCACACCTTGCACGAAAATTTCACGGAATCGGTGGCTGGACATTGGACCATTTGGGAGTAAAGCCTATGACACCATTTCAAAGGGCTGGACCACTTGGGATCTCCAGATTCCTATAAATGCTTGCCCAAGGAGCAAACGCCTCCAAGAAAACTATAACCAATCCACTAATATCAGCAGTGAAATTTCACCAGTATCTATCAGGCTAATTCGTGAAACCCCTTCGGTTGATCTAAGACTGCTGACGTGTTGGTATTCGCTGCCTCCGGAGCGCAGCTTTTGGATTAAATGTTAGCTAACTGCCTCTGGAGGCTGTACCCCCTAATTGGACCACGGAGCACCCTTCGGTGTAGATTAAAACTCTCTGATACACACACACTGTTAGAGGGGCTGGGACGGCTGTCTGGATGGGGTGCAGAGTGCCACCCCAAGGCAGCCCTCAGCTGCCCGCCCTCTGGGGATCGCTCCGCTCAAGAAAGCTGTCACCCAGGGGCGCCTGGGTGGCTCAGTCAGTTAAGCGTCTGCCTTCGGCTCAGGTCATGATCCCAGGGTCCTGGGATCGAGCCCCACGTCGGGCTCCCTGCTCGGCGGGAAGCCTGCTTCTCCCTCTCCCACTCCCCCTGCTTGTGTTCCCTCTTTTGCTATGTGTCTCTCTGTCAAATAAATAAAATCTTTAAAAAAAGAAAAGAAAAGAAAACTGTCACCCATAGTGCCTCTTCCGGGGGCACCTGGTATCCAGTGAAACAGCTCAATGCCCCGGGGACAAAAACAGCCGCCTTCCTGGAGTTCTGATTCTGATGGAGACAGACAAGAAACAAGATAAACACGCGCAACAGAAACCCGTGGAGTGCTGGGCAGTGATGCGTGCTACGGAGAAAAATAAGGCAGGGGACAGGGTGGGATTTGCCAGCGACGGTGGACAGGGACGGTCCCTGAAGGTCACAGGGCGGTCATTGACGGGGGAGGGGGCGTCAAGACCTGAAGAAGATGAGGGAGGGAGCCCCCCATCACGAATTCCATGCCCGCTGCCCCCACCGTCCACCAACTTTCCTTGCCTGAGGCAACTCGGGGCGCTAACTCAGGTTTGCGGGCGACCCTGCGCCCAGCTCGCAGCGCCCCCCGCGGGCCACAGGCCCCACCCTCGCGCACGCGCGCACGGC